GTTAGTTCCTGAAAAGCTGACATACATTTGGGAAATAAAAGGTTTTCACACAACAAAAGTCAAATAGTTTTAATGGAAATGCACCATGGTGGATGGAGCTGGCAGTGGTTCAACTGAAGTTTCTATTTTTCTACAGTCAAATAGATCTGCTCTATTAATGAAATGGTTTTCCCCTTTGAGGTATAAATAAATAAATAAATAAAATTAATTACCTCAAGTGAAAAATGTAATTTTGTATTGTTGGTTTTCCTAAAACACGTCTTGTTTGTACCTCCACCAGCACCAACTGGCTGTACACCTACGTAGACAAAAACCTACCACTCTTTCTGTTCTTTTTCACAGAGCCAAGCTGGCTGTTTCCCGCTGTTTCCCGTCTTCATGCTAAGCTAAGATACCCAGTTGCTGGCTGTAGCTTTATATTTACCACACATCATTTTTTTCATCTAGCTCTTCAAATCAAATAAGCGTATTTCCCAAAATCCCCTTTAAGTTAAACTGTATTTCTATTGCTAACATTATAGTAATAATAATAATAATAACAATTTATATAACACCTTTCAAAACAAAGTTACACAGCGCTTTACAGTAAAAACAAAGAACAGTCAAGTAAATTAAATCCAACAACAAACACCATCAGTAAAGAAAAAGCCATAAGATAAAAGTAACATTGTTCACTATCAGTAGGCTACTTTTCACTAGCCTTTCCAAATGATGCATTACGCCCAGACGACACAGCTTGCCTCACATTTCGGCGCCACAGGTTCAGCCACACAGCCTGCGTGAGACGCCGCTCAAGCCTCGCTGCAGTGGAGCGTCATCTATCATTTTTCATATGTGAGGCATGCGGTTCTCAGCAAAAATATTCAGTAATTTTCATAATTCAGTAAAATTCATATTCAGTCAAACCCGCAAAAAATGACACCATTCACTATAGTTTCAAAGTCTAAGCTTTATCTGAATATAAATAAATATAGATATAATTATTTTTTGATTTTAATAGTTATATTGAAGGAGAAAGTGGAAGCTACATGTCTACTATATAGTCATAGTCAACTAAATATAGATTACATTTATAATGAAATGAAATCAAACCTTCTACTATTTATGGCCACTATCAAAGGCAAAGTCTTATGAGCTTTTGACATATGAAATATGGTTTACAGGCTGGTGGCTGACAAGCAGGCAGGTGAGTCGGCAGGAACAGGCCACATGATAATAAACACAGGTACCAGGTACAGAGAAAACTCTAGGAAACAAGAACAGGTTGCAGATTCATTCGGAAAACAGGCTGGAACATAAACAAACGTTCTGACAATGAGCTGCTGTGAAGTATAAATAGTAGCTGACGAGGGAACTGGGTTCAGGTGTGTGAGCGGTCAGGGAGACTCGCGTGATTACAAATAGAAAACAGGTGAGCAAGTGGGAACGGGGACAGAAAGCAAGTCCGGGGACATCTAGTGGGCGGATGGAGAATGGCAGGTCTGGGGAAGTGAAGGGACAGAACATGGTCAGGGAGAAGTGAACAGAGGCCCGAGGAGAAGATAGAAAGATAGATGTAGAAAGATGGAGCTTGTAGCAGCAGCGCCGCAGCAGTTGAGCGAAGTAGCTGTCATGCACAGGTGAGGAAAGCAGCGCGGCCCAAGGCTAACTCTGAGAGAGATGATGGACTGTATTTACCGTGTATTGCCATTAAAGACACGGAGATGAGACTGAAACTCTGTGAAGTGTTTCTTTACACTCTGCTGAGTCTCTTTGAAGTCTTAGAAAATGGAAGCATTCCCTTCTTCAGGTTGCTGTGAAGCTCCGACCTGCTTTTATCACACTGAAGGAAATATTTCGGCTTTTCCTCTTCAGTCAGGAATCACATTGTTGCTTATGTGTGTGTGTGTGTGTATGAGTGTGTATGTGTGTGAGGGATTATAACCCACAGCTGCTAGCCTCTCTGATTACTGACTGCCTGGTCAGCCTGGATTAGACTCACACACACACACACACACACACACACACACACACACACACACACACACACACACACACTACACAACATATTATAGTAAAGGTAAATGCACATATTTCATTTCATTTTGCTGCTGAATGCTCAGTTCACTGACTTGCTCTTTCTTTGTATGCATCTTAATCTATGTATGTGTGTATGTGAGCAAGTGTGTGTGTGTATTTACCTATGTGTGTGTGTGTTGTGTAATTCCCAGCTCAATAGAGCAGATATATTTAATCCTTCCCTCGCTAAAGCTGATGTCAGCATCAGCTGGCTCTGTGTGTGTGTGTGTGTGTGTGTGTGTGTGTGTGTGTGTGTGTGTGTGTGTGTGTGTGTGCATTTTGTAGCTAATTCATCACAGTGGCAGATTAACCAGCTGTCTGCAGAACATAAAGTCGACTACTAACAACCAGCTGGAAGAGAGAGAGAGAGAGAGAGAGAGAGAGAGAGAGAGGCAGTCAGGTAGAGACAGACAGGTAATGTGAAAGCAGTGGAGTCACTGGGATAATTAAACTTTCCCATTGCATTTCCATCAGTTACAGATGTTTCACCTTCCTTACAAATTTTCACACAATTTTTATCTTAGTTTGGTATGTGGAAATACTCTAAATACTACAGTACCCATGAGCCTCAGCGCCTGTTTATATAAAAAGTTGAAGTGAGACTGAAATTTTCAGGTTCCAGGAGCAAGAAAACCTCATTTAAACTCAAACTGTGTGAAATGAGTCCCTCGTTCACTCATTCACTACTCTCTATTAAACAGACGCTCACTTTACACTGAGCAGTAAATTGCAAATATCTGACACTTATCAATGATCATAATTTTTGCTTCATCACTAACAGCTGCAAAGCGTTTCATTAGGTCAGTTTCCTTCAACCTGTTTTTAGGTGCATTTTCAATTTAAGGCAGAAATTTGAAAAGATCTTGATATATATCTTCTCCTACCCATCCACCCCCAGCCCCCATTATTGCCACATTACTGTAAACTACCATATCATCACAGACATAGATTACTTTTTAAAAGTAAAGAATCACCCATGTGAGTATATGTTTTATCACTTAAACAACGTGTCATTAAGCAGAACATCTCAAAACAGATCCGTTTACAAATGTAATTCAGTTATACAAACATTTTTTCATTAAGCAGAAAGTGAAAAAAAGAGTTGCGGTAAACTAAAGATGCAATGGAAAATTTTATTTTGCTGACATGACATGTTCCTAGCCCAAAGATGTGCTACGATTTCAGAGCACTTGCTGGCTCGTGTAAATCCTCAGGTCTTCAAGTTCTTCTTCTTCTGATGTTTTTTGTTGGTTGGCAAACAGCTTTTTGGTGCATTACTGCCATCTTCTGGTTGTCGATAACGACGCTCACGTTCAGTTGTTGCAAACGGATATGTTCAGCTCACGCGTTCATGCACAACACTGATCAATCATAAATTAACATTTCCTCAATGTATTCATAGAAAAAGAAATCTAGGCTGCATTACTGTCCCTTTAAAACACATTTGCTATTGCAAATCAGTTTTATAGTCACTGTGATCAGCAACAATACACTGCACCATAGCTGCTGTGCAAGGTGACCCATGGGCATGGAGTAACAGTAGTGGCTGCCTAATTCAAGTCGGTTAATGTTATAAATGTATAAATGATAAATTATGCATTCGCTTCAGAGGACTTAAATGTCTGGCATTTAGCATAGCTGGTTCAGCTGGTGCATTGATGTTGATACTGGAGATATAGAGACCTTCATCTCTTCTCCAGTGCAGGCTGTATGACCACCAGCAGCTGCTCCACCATCATGTGAAATGAAAATTACCATTACCTGACAGCGTCTTCTGAGCCAGTACTCAGTGGTTTACCATTAATATCTTAATGAGCTATCCAAAGTGAAGTGAATTTTAATACAGTATGTACAGTAGTGATGTACGTAGGTCATGAAAAAAATGTGTGTGTGTATGTGTCTGTCCGGTGAGAGGTCATGTGACTTGGCAGAGCTGACACGACAACAGATGGACACAGTTATGGACTGACTAACACACACACACACGCAGTACACTGGAAGCACACACATATGTCATATGTCATCCTTCCTCTCTCCTCTTGCTCATTATTTCATCACTTCACCCTGTGAGTGTTTGATGCTTAGCATGCTCTGAATCCGGTGTCATTCAGGCCTCATACCTGTCTATCTGTCCACCTGTCTGTCCTCCTGTCTGTCCTTCAGCGAGTGTCTCTTCGTGGTCGTTACTGTGGTCTTTTGGATGTCCAGTGTCACCTTTTATATCGGCATTGCTTGGGGTGCTGCTGTGTTGGTTCGCTGCTGTCATTTCTCTGGTGTTTCTCAGTATATCTTTGCTAACGTCTTGGAGAAAATAAAAACAATTGTCTCTGCTATTGACAGATATGGTGTGTGTAGGAAATCCCATTCGTATTTATACCGTGTCATAGCAGGTCACAACTGAAAGTGGCACAGCGAAATTCATCAGTGTGTTAGCTAAATATTTGGCTCTGGAAGTTTGATGAGGTAGTGACTACTCACACGGATACTTGGTGAACTGCTGTAGCTCACTTTCTATATTCTGTGTCGAGCAACAAACATCTTCTGTCCCATTTTACAAATAAAATCTGACACAAAAAGATTGAACAGCTTGGAGTTTTTTTTTATAATCATCCATCCAAATGAGCACACCAGAAATGATGTACATAATTATTACATAATTAGCAATGAAACATGAAATGGACTATATTCAACCTTATCTAAAACACATAACACTTCCTTCCTGTGCTGTGCTGTTAACCGCCCCCTGGCATTTTGTTCGTAGGACTGTACATGATTTCAGTTACAGTTACTGTAGAGGGGGAAAAAATCTCAGCGCTCGTAAGGTTTTAATTCATCATTATGTGTGAGCATCTGGTGTATTGTTGAACTGGTTCTTATTTATGTCACCTATAAATTAATATTAAAGGTTTCCAACACCAGTGTTTTGTCCTTTTTCCTCAGGGATGAAGACTCCTCTCAGCCCCTCTCAGCTCCTGGAGAGCGGGCAGATCTTTGCCTTTGGGGGGATGTGTCAAGAGCTAATGGACACACCCACACCTACAAGCATCAGTCTTTCCGTCCAGCAGGCTCCGTCTCCAGGTGACCGACATGTTCCTGCACCAGTGCTCTGCATTATCTCCTGTCATTCCATTACATCCTTATTGTTTTCTCCTGAGGTCTGACTCATCCTTGTAGTTTTCTCATATAACCCATCCTTGTTGTTTTGTCCCAGGTCAGGGCGGGGCCTACTCACTGTGTGAGGTGTGTAACCTGCAGCTGACCTCCGATGCTCAGGCACAGCTGCACTACAACGGCCGGTCTCACCTTCGGAGAGTGCGACAGCTCCAGGCTGGAGAGAAGGGACAACATGTGGCAGGTACATTACAACCACTACTGTCGTGTGACTGTAGTAGCAGAAGTATCTGCATGAATAGTTTTCAACAATTAGCTTAGGAGGCAGTAAAAAACATTATCTATGTAACTGGGAACAGAGAGCTCCTGAAGGGATTTTTGAAATTAAAGATTAAGTAATAGTGATCATAAGCTGTGTGCACAGGAAGACAATAACTTTTAGCAGAACTTTATGCAGCTGTAATATTTTTAGCAGTTGCAGTAGCAATAATAGTAGTAGTACTAGTAGCTTCTGCAGAAGTAGCATTAGTCATAGCAGTAGCGGTAGTAGTTGCAGCAGTGGTAGTAGTAATAGTAGCAGTAGTAGTAGCAGTAGTATTATTAGTCATAGCAGCAGTAATAATAGCATTTGCAGTAGTAGCAGCAGTAGTAGTAGTCATAACAACAATAGCAGTAGCAGCAATGGCAACAGCAGTAGTAGCAGTGTTATCAGGATCAGTGGCAGTAGCATTAACAGTAGCACCAGGAGTAATAACAGTAATAGCACCAGTAGCAGCAGTGGTTTATTATTGTCAGCTCCCTTTATGTGTTTAAATGGGTTTTAATGTGATGTCTTTGATTCCAGCAGGGGCTCAGGCCAGGTCTCTGCCACAGGCCACAGGGCTCAGATCTCAGCCTGCCGGGCTAACTCCGACCCCAGGCCTCAGCCCAGGCCTCAACGCTGCACCAAGCACAACTGCAGGTAGGACCAGTTCTGCTACAGCTTCTACCGCTCCTGGTGTACACTGCTGATGGTGACTGATGAATCCCATATTTTGTCTTCTGTTAAAAGTTGCACTTGAACACAGCACAAAGACTACACCTGACATGCATAAACATTCTGTACCTGCATGAGAGGAAATACCTAGACAGCAGTCTGTCATGCAAGTTGTCATGGTAACCACAGGGACATTAAGCGCTAAAGAGGACTTTAATTTGTAAAGTCTGTCTGTGACTGTCTGTCCGCTCAGTGAGAGTGACTTTGGCTCATCCATCGTCAACAGCTGCTGGCCCCTGGGAGAGGTCAGTGTGTGTGTGTGTGTGTCTGTGTGTTGGCTCTCAGATTTACCCTCAAAAGGGTAAACTTACTCTGTATTAACTCAGATCATCACTGCAGTTTTACACTCTCTGAGTATTGTTAGCTCCGCCTCAACACCTGTCAGTTGCGAAGTGATGCATTACTCCTCAACACTGTTGGTTGGTCCACCACTTTGGTCAAGACTGAAACATTTGAAGAACTATCTATTAGATTGTCATGAAATTTGGCACCAACATTCATGGTGCCCAGAGGATGAATCCTACTGACTTTTGTGGTGCCCTGACTATTCTTCTAGCGCCACCAGCAGGTCAAAGTTTTCACTTATCCGGTGAAAGTGGATTGGCACAATATTTGGCAGTGTAACATCCATGGTTTCATTTGTTATCTTTTGAAAGAACCAGACTAGCTGCTTCCCTGTGCTTGTAGTCTTAATGCTAAGCTAAGCTAACTGACAAACTGGCTGTTAGCTATAGCGTCATATGGACAGACACGAGGGTGGTATTGATATTGTCGTCTAAATCTCGACTAGAAATCAAATCCCAAAATGAAAAATTTTCCCTCATTGATATCGGTAGCTATTGGGCAAGGCAGTATTTTGATTGTTTTTCATGGTTTAATCATTGCAGCAGGATACAAAGTTGTTCCAGCGCCCTCTGCTGGTGAGATCACAGTTAACGCTTTTCACATTGCCTGGCCCTCTGTGGTTCTGTGATCAGATGTGACTGGAACAGTTTCAGAGCGTCTTCAGTGATTCAGACCCAGTTTTTTTAAAGTCAAACTGCTGGTCAACAGAGTGAGAGTGTGCTGTGAGATGTAAAGGAGTTAAAGTGGAGCAGACAGCAGCAGGTCATTTAACTGGGACACAGCCCTGCTCTGAAGCCAGACTGACATTTCTCAAAGACACCATCAAATTTTGCCTGCATTGACTCTTATCATTGCATCATATTTGATGGTATAGTCTCTCAAAGTATCTGTCTCCACGAAATCTGCTGTGGTGACATCTTTATGTGAGTCATGTTTCAGTGTGGTGTTTCAGATTGTTGTCCTTACTTTCTTGATCAAAAACACAATGCACTTCCATTGAAAATCTACTATTTTAGCCCTGAGTGGAACTGACTTTTAGGTTGGACTACATAAAAACATCAGTTGAATATAATATAATATTATATAATATAATATAATATAATATAATATAATATAATATGATATAATATAATATAATATTAACATACAAACACGCCTAATTACAGTATGTGGGACGATGATATCAGGAGAGACAGGAAACAGAAAGACAATCTCACACTGATATGCACACCCACATACACAGGTGTGTGTGTGTGTGTGTGTGTGTGTGTGTGTGAGAAACAGCTGTAATTACATACTGTTGGTCCATATCAGTGTACAGTCTACAATAACACTGATTAAAGATTAAATCTCTCTCTGCTGGACACACTCAGACACACACACACACACACACACACACACACACACACACACACACACTCACCACTAAACCTGAATGGTCATGTCTTTGGCTGTCTCCCTCTTTCTTTTTCTCTCTCTCTCTCTGTCCATTACGTGATGCTCGCTCAACCATGAAAAGCTCTTTGGCCTGAACTCAGCTTCTGCAGGCCAGGCTGAGCGTGTGTGTGTGTGTGTGTGTGTGTGTGACAGTGACCTGGCTGGCTGAGCAGCCTATCAGCATTCAGGTCAGATGACATCACAGCCAGTACAAACAGTTGTGCTGCAGGGGGACAGGCAACACGATATGTGAGCCCCTCAATCAGTAACTGTTAAAGAAACTGGAATCACTTATTTGTATGAATTACTGTCTGTTCTTCAACTTACAGGGATCACAGGGATGATTGCTGGGATGAATCGGGCTATAATGTTAAAATATTTTGTCTTCTTCTCTTTCCTTTTCCTTTCTTCTATTTTTTTCTGAATGTTTTTAAAAATCAAAATAACTCCCTCAGTGGCACTAAATCTGCACACTGTCATAAAACTGTATCTCACCAGTCATGCAAGAGCTCACATCCTTTACTTAGGTAAATGTACTGTAGCAATAAGACAGTGTAAAAATACTCCATTATAGGTAAAAATCAGCATTGAAAATTTTACACTAAACTGAACAATCATAGGAGGCTGCTATGTAAACAGATAATGAATGACACTTGTGTAATTGTGATAATATAACATGTAATGTATGAGAAGTTATAATTAACTCTTAAAATGTCATCATAGCTGCGTTACCAAAAAGACAATATTTCTCTCTAAAATGTAGAAGGGTTCTTCTGCCCACTCACTGTGTGTAGCTGCACCGCTATAGTATGCAGCAAGCTAACACACCTCCAATAAAGGTTGAAGACAGGAAAAGCATTTGTAGTATTTACTGGAAGTCATTGTGATACTGTGAACAATACTGGATGAAACCCAATAAATTCAGTGATGGTATTTATAAATCAGACAAAAAGACACACCACAGTGTTGGAAGAAGTACCCAATAGGAGGTAAATACAGTAACTTGTGAACAGTGTGAAAGTACACAGTAAAATACATAACACTTAGCCAAACAGTAAACTGTTAAAAATAAATGAGGAATTAATGGACACAAAGCTGCTACAATAACAGAGTAACCTATAGATGGAGTTCCAACAAGGAAGAATAAATGTGTTGCTCGTTAACATTTGCTTGGTCATTGATTTGACAAAATAGTGGTTAAACAATGTTTTTTTAAACTGCAACCGCCAAATCACTCTGACAAGAGTGGTTGCTATAGCAACAAAAAGTTCAACTGAAACCAACTGCTGGTGACAAAGTGTGAGTAGACACACAGAGCAGCATAAAACTGAAGTAAAATAAAGTGAAGAAGCTCAGATTGTATTTAAATACACTGCTTGAGTAAATGTGTTAATTTCCTCCAGTGTCAAACACATACATTATGTACAAAGGTGAAAGTGCACACACATTTTAAACACGCTTCTTTAAAATAAACACAAGTTTACTGGAGCAATAATCCCTGAAGACTTTACACATTTGTCCTTATTAAAGACATTTGTAATCGGACATTGGCTGAGCAAGAACCTTCCTCCCAAAGGAAAGTGGACAGATTAAAGGAAGCGTGTGAAATGGAACAAACTACTAACAAACTAAAACTATGGACAAAAATATTTGGAAAAAAAATGGCATCCAATAATTAGCAATGATATCTTCTCCCATGAGACTAACAAATAAAACAGTGATTGTTAATGCTGTGCCATAGTCCAACTCTGTTGTTTGTTTGTTCTTTATTTTTGCTTTGTTTTTTAAAGAAAATTAAATTGAAAGAAAAAAATGACAAAATCAATCCATTAATTAAAAAGGCGGCTTAAAAATACAGGATCAGAAACACACAGGAGGAGTCAGAAGGAGAAACAAAGTAAATTACATAATGAAATGATTTATGATTTTCTCAGACTGACCTTGAGAGAATGTCACTGTTTATACTTCATGGTTTGGATGTACCGAGGCTCCTCTCACCAAAGACAGCTGTGTGTTCTCCTCAGTGGCAGTCAGTGACCACTAAGCGGCACTATACACAGTCATACACACTCAAACACACACATACACACTCATACACACACTCAGTCACTAATGAAAGAAGTGAATTCCCATGATCCACATGCTCAGTGCAAATGAAGAGATTAAGTCACATGAGACTAATAACATTTACATTATTAAAGCTCCTCTCCTCTCTGTTGCTGGGCACTGAGGACAATGACACTAATGTGCTTTGACCGTCTTGTGCGTTGTGATGTGTGAAGTATTTTGAGGACGGTACTTGAAGTTTATTTTTTTCTCAGGATAAAATATAAACTTTCCTTTTTAATGAGAACCTCGGTGTTCCTGATTGGACGTTTCTTTAGTACGGTGAAAATGTCAGAATCAACCCACCGTTTCTTTCCTTTTCATGTGGTGTGTATGTGTGTGTGTGCGCACTATTTCTAATTAGCTCTCCTGGGCTAATAAAGGTCAACATGTTGTCCTGCTGATACCCCATATATAATGAGCTGAGAAATAGACAGTTATTAATAGACACAAATTGCAGCAGTGTGTGTGTGTGTGTGTGTGTATGTGTGTGTGTGTGTGTGTGTGATGGAGAGATTGAGCAGGTGTTGATGCGTGGTCTTGCGTTGATGTATTCAGCAGTGTATGAATAGACTCTGCTGACAGATTCACACACTCATAGTGCTGTACAGTGGTGACAATGGGCTCAGAGGGGGAGGTCGGGAGGTGGTGCCTGGATGGGGGTATATATGACCCGTATATATGACACACATCACCACCAGTACACAACTTGTAATACTAGAGGAACTAGTAGAGGCCTGGTAGAAGACTAACATAGAACCAATCAACATGTCCATGCATGTGACAGCAGGAGACTGCTGAGGACTAGTAGGAATGATAATGAACTAGTGGAAGCCAGGGAGACCTATAGGACTGGTACAGGACTAGTGAAAAACTGTGGAACTAGCAGATAGTAAAGGACTAGTAGAGCTCTGGTTGAGGACTGGTAGGATTGGTAGAAGATTATAGGAAAACTGGTAGGGCTATTAGAATGGGTAGAAGACTGATATGACTAGTAGAGGTCTACTAGAAAACCAGTAGAACTAACAAAACAAGCA